GACGGTCTGCAGGCAGGAGGGCAGCCCCTTCGCCTGGCCCTGGGCAGGTGTGGCTGCACACAGCAGGGCAGTGCGGCTTGAGAATCCTCCAGGGCTGCCAGGACTGGAGTGAATCACAGAAATCCAGGACAGGCACAGAAAAAGTGCACAGTTCCTGCACTTGGGGCCAGTCGGGAAGCGCACTCTTCAGTTTCAGTGTGAGACCAAGCTGGTTTCTGATAGCACAGCGTCGCTCTGCCCTCAGTCTGAGGCTCAGGGAACGCAGGAGCTCACCGCCATTACCTTCCTGCTCACTCTGTAGAGCTGTCTTTTTCCTGCCCTTAGTAAATACAAGACCTTGCCACTTTTTTTTTTTTTTTTTTCTCACATTTTGTCCAATTCCTTGTTCAGTACTCCCCAAGAATCTGGATTAATCTCTGAAAAGTGCCCTTGGCATCCCAGCACTCAAGTAATAGGAAGTGCTACTGGGACCCCAATGTCCTCTCTTCTCTAGAAAGGGCAGCCTTGAGGGTGAGGGGTTCCACCTCCCAAGTTGGGACATAAAGCCGGCCCCAACCTGAAACAACTTAAAAAATTTAGCTTCAGTGCCAGGCTTGTGACACACACCTGGTGTCCAAACACTCAGGAGGCTGAGGCAGGAGGATCGCTGTGAGTTTGAGGCCAGCCTGGGGCTCCATAGTGAGACCCTGTCTCAGTAAATAAGGAAAGGAAGAGCTGTCTGGGAAGGGCCAGGGTTGAATTTCCAGTGGGGGAAGGGATAGTGAGTTTGTGCAGCGAACCCGGTGTGCCCAGCTCCCAGGTGTTCAGAGCTGGGGCCTTTGAGGTGTGGCTCAGTGGCTGAGGAGACCTTGCCTGCAGCAGTCTGGTGTAGCTGCTCCATCCCCAGGAGGCCCTTAGCACAGCTGCTGCCCCTGCCCTGAGGGCAGAGGCCATGACCCCTCCTGTCCCAACCCCATGGTCCCTCAGGTCCCTTCCCTGTGAGTCCCGCCTGCTCTGGCCCTCGGGTCCACCTCCTTCCACTCCCACCCCACCTGAAGCTCCTGTTTCACGCCCATCCACCCCCCTGGGAACCTGCGTTACTGGAGGCTGAGACAGGCCAACCTGGGGTACGTGATGAACTCAAGGCCAGCCTGCACCTAAAAACACCCTCTCACCAAATGAAGTAACTCGGGCACAGACTTCTAGGACTCCGCAGCGGGTCGCCTCTAGTGAACTGGGACTAAGCTCCTGGGCAGATCCTTCCCTAAACTTTCCACTCTGAAGGTCGCCTGCTCTTTCCACCAGTCTGTCTCTAAGAGTCCCTGCTTCCCCAATCTCCCACCCAGTCTCCTGTCTTCTATGTCGCAAGGCCCTGGCCAGAGTTGGGGGTGACAGTAGCAGTGTAGCCTTTCTTGGCATCCGTGTAGGGCCGAGGGTGTCTCTGTTCCACTCAAAGCTACACAGGTCACACAGGGACAGCTCCAACCCATCCTGTCCAGCCTTGCAGGGGCCTTGGGACCTCGCCTGTCCCTGCCATGCTGGGCACTGATGGCAACGCCGCACCCTGCCCACCATCCCGCCAGCCCTGGCACACCAAGCTATGCCTCCTCCCCAGTCCTGGATCTGGGTGGCTGTCCCTGCCACCAGCCTGCCTCCTCTGGTAAAGGTACAAGCCTATGATCCTGAGCCACGGAGGGGCCTGCACACTCAGGCAACTGCACATCTGCTCCATAGAACAGCTACAGCCAGCACATCCTTACTAGTGTGTCTTTTAACTACACAAGACTGAGAGAATGTTTAAAACTTAAAATAGGACTTTTGTTTTCTGTCCCGAGGCAGGCTTTTTCCGTGTAGCTCAGGCTGGCCTCACATGCACAGTGATCCTGGGATGACAAGCATGCACCACCAGGCCAGGCTCCACGATGTATATATTTTAATACAACAAGGGCTGGCAGTGTGATGGGATTTTCGTCCCTGCCCGTGCTTGTCCTGTACCAGCCAAGCCAGCTGCCATGACTGAGCTGTGTATGTTGCCACCCCGGTCTTAAAAATGTGGTGGCGAGGACTTCTGCCATCTAAGAAATGTCAAAGCTAACACCAGACATATTAGGAGGACCCTGCTGTGGAGAGGGGTCCAGACTTGGAAACGACAGTCTCGTGACTCTTGGGCTGCAGACTACAAAGCAGCAGGAGAAACAGGAAAAGGAGAAGCCGAGTCTGAGTCTCCTTCAGAGTGGCCGCCCCCAGCTGTGAACAGACCCAGAGACACCACACTGCGAGGGACCTCAGAGTTGTCATAAAGACACTTCCTTTGTTTCCAGTAACCAAGTTGAGAACAGTTAACAACTGTCCCCATGCTCACCAGTATGAAACTCATCCAGAGGATTTCCTGGGCTAGACAGAGGTGGCAGAGCATTCGCCCAGCCTGCCACGGAGCCTGGGTTCCCAGCCCTGCAAAGAGGGACTTCCACATGTTAGTGAAGGCTCACAGCCAGTTCACTCTGAAAGGCCTAATCTATACAAGATGACAGTGGTGTCAGCCAGGCCTGGTACCGCCCTTGGGAGTCTGGGACAAAAGGAAGGCCGCAAGTACAAGGCCAGCCTGGACTGCACAGTGAGACTGTCTCAAAAAAATGACAAAATGATGTCAAAGTGCACTTTTAGGAAGTGAAAGTGAGATGGGTGAGATGGAAGAAAAGCAGTGGTTTCATCACCACTTCTGTGAAAAGGTCGCTCTTCCTAGTCACAAGTGAAGCTGCATGTCTCCTCAAGGCACCCTGGCCTTGCAGCACCCAGCCCCTCCTGCCATGGAGGTGTCCTCCTCCCAGAAGGTGCATGTCCAGGCCGCACATCCCCAGGCTAACACAAAGGCACCTGCCTGGGCCAGCGCAATGACAAGCAACCCCACGTGCGGAGTGAGCATGTGCCACCCGCTGAAGGGCTGGGGAAACCTAGCACTCACACAAGGCCCAAGTGCACGGTGCTAAGAGTGTCCTCCGACACCCAGTCAGGTGTCAGCCTCAGGGACAGGACTTTCTAGAGGAGTCCCTGCCTGTGCAGGACAAAGCTCTGGCACTGGACCTCACTCCGTACTATCTCCGGAGCACTGCAGTAACTCCTGTGCCTCAGAGGCCCAGAAGCCCTGGGACCAGAGGACTAGCTCTAGGGCAAGTCTAAACACACATGGTTGATCGGAAATGACCAGGGTTTCATTTTCAAACCTCTCCATTGCAGACATTGGTCCTCTGCACCCATCCTCTGAGCACAAGGTCCCACATTCTGACGCCACTGGTAGTGGCTCCCTTTCATGGTCACAGGAACTTGGGGAGGGCCAGAGTCATGGGTTGCCAGAGCCAGCCAGAAAGGTAGGTAAGGACACCCTGATGTCTGTAAGAGCCCATCTTTCCTCTGACGGCGCTCACCTCGCCACACCTTCAAGACACTGATGAAAGGGAACCTGGGAACTGCTGCGGAGGTGTATCCACAGCAAAGGGGACTTTGGCTATAAATGTTAAAAACTGAAACATTCACTGTAGCTTGATCACAGTTCATATAGAGAGGAATTTAGTCTTTCCCAGGTATAACTGCTACCTTATTAACGTGCTTTAACTAATGATCTCTGCTTAACAGCTTATGTCAAGATGAGCCCCAGTGCCTCACAGTCACCGCTGATGCTTGAGAAGCAGCTGACTCTGATGTGTGACCACTAAACCAGTGACCTTCCTGGGGTGGCACAGTTCTGGGTGTGGATAATGGGAAGGTCCACGCTGGGCCGGGCAGAGTGCCACCTGTGCTGAAGGCATGTGGCCTGGATACAACGTAAGGGACCAAAAGGGGGCAGGCGCTGTGGGCCTTGGCCACTTGCTGCTTTCTGTCTGTCCTACTCTGCCTTGAGCTGCTGCCCTCTACCATGTGCCCACCTGCCTGGGGCCAGCTGAGTATGGACGGAAACCTTCATGAACTGCGGGCGAAGTAAACCTTTCCTTCCTTAACTTTGAGTGTCGGATAGTTTGTCTCAGCAATTAAAGTGAAGCCACCCCACCTGAGGTCATTTCTCCACTTACTACACAGAACTTGGCCTCTTTCTCCTCGCACTGCTGAACCGCCAGCACTCCTGGCCAGGGCTCCAGGTTGGCACCTCCTCAGCAGATGCCATGGCACTGCTGGTGCCCAGGGACACCACAGGTGCCATGCAGGCCTGGCCCGCAGGCCAGAATGCCCCCAGCAGGGCTCAGGACCCCAAGCAGAATAGCACCAAGTTATAAACATCATTAAATTTTATTAACAAAACTTTGTACATTTTAATACATGTGGAATTTTACATCTAGGCAAAATAACAACACATTCAAAATTTACCCTTTATACAAATTGTTACAGAATAACCAGTGGGTTAAATAAGTAAAATAAACCACACTGATTTTTTAAATTATCTACAAAAGGTCTGACTTTCTTTAAAATTCCCCTGAACATATAAAAATAAATTAATTTTACTTTTCAATTAAATCTACCAATTAGAAATATTACAAATCAAAATATCAATGTTATGAATTTTTCACAATAGAAAACAGATTCACAAAACCTTATTTACAGAAATGAGGTAAGAACTGTGCAATGTTTAACCAAGAGACATATTGCAGAATTAGCTTGTTCTTCCAGCTAAGTACACAGTGGAGGTCTTATCACAGCTGGGCTTCCCACTAGTAACCCGGCCTTTCAGAACTGAGCTGCCACTGCAGCGGAGTAGGACTCCCTGGTGGCCGGCCATGCCCTTGTGGAGGGGCCATGGCCGGCAGGTCTCAACAGTTAGTAATGGGAAGTTGCTTAAGTAAAACAAATGCATATTCTCACCAAACCCCCTCAATCTGTTTTGTGACCATTAGTGGATCAACTCCTAGGTGAAACAGTACTGCTTGAGCCATGGGCAGAGCACACAATCACAAGGCAGGCAGGGCCTGGGCAGTGCATCAAGGCCACGCCTCACGCCAGCCTTCTGCTTTCAGCTGACCTGGCTCCCAGCAGCCTCAGAACTTGTTTAACTCAAAGTGTCCCTACACGAGCAGGTCTTGACATTAAAGAAGCACTTAGCAAAAGAAAAGGATCTTTAGCAAAACCACATGTTACATCCTAGTCCAATTACCCAAACTGGCCAAGTTTCATCAAAAAGGAAGAATTTCCAACAAGGTTTTGCAGAGTCCAGGTGGACGGCATGATACAGCTGACTGTGTTTAATGACTAGAACTCTAGAGGCGGAAGCCGAGTGCCTTGACATTTCAGAACTGACTCACAGAGCAGTAACTGTAACCCCAAGAAGTGATGGTATTTTATACTCTAACTTGTACAGTAAAACCAAGTAGTCTGTAAGTAGAACAAGTCTTTATGGTTTTGCTATTTGCATCTCCATTTGTAACAACTAGTTGTGACCAACTATATTCAGTTTTTCTTGGGTTCATAAACTAATTGCATGTTAAGTTATTTCATTGACAAAAGTAAGCTATTACATTTTCTTTCAAAGTTCAAAACCTTTGGGTGGGGCAGGGGGTACAGGATTTCCATTTCAGTGCAACAAAGCAACAAGAAAATCAGTGGGCATCTTACAAGAGTGCCCTTGCTTGTCCTCTGTCCTGTGGCCTTTGTCGCTGGGTCACAGTTGTCCTCGGTGACTGCAGCGGCAGCCACGCAGGGCCGACCACAGCAGAGGCCATCTCGGGTGTTTTTCAAGGGTCAACTTTTCTCCTGAGCTACAGGCCCAGTTTTATCACTAATTCTCTGCAGTAAAAGAAACAAAAACCAGAAGCATTATTAGCTAAATGGATTCTGGCCAATGCTTGGGATAATACCCTCTTTAACCACAACTGGAACACATCAAATATGATAGATGGCTACACCTTTTTATGCATTAAGTTAGCCTGGCTGTTTTTCAGGCTAATTGAAGAGATATGGATTTACTGGTAAATACTTTTAAAACACTGAATTCAATACTACCAAGGACAAAAGAGGCAGGGTGCTTACTCTCAAGACAGAAAATGCTGCCTCACCTTCCTGGCTGCTGTCCCAGACACTGTAATGGGGATCACGGATCATGAAGCATTTATTGACTAAGAGAGTCACTTGGCCCTCACCCCACAATGCTGCCATCCTTGAGCTGTGGCTTATTCCATCCTGCTTCTGCTTCCCTTACACAGTAGGCTCCCACCTCTTACCTTGGAGACCCAATCATGCACACACCACGTCCAATGAGGGACTCAGTATCACTTCCAGCCCTAATCTCTTGTATCAAGAATATCTTATAAGGGCTGGGGAGATAGCTCAGTAGAATAAGCGCCTGCCTGGCAAGCGAAGGGTCCTGAGTTCAATCCCCGGTGTCGCAAAAAAAAAAAAAAAAAAAAATCTTATATTCATTATTGTGGTTCAACACTTCTCATACAATTCAGGAAAAAATAGCTTAGATTTCTTTTTTTAATAAGAAAAAATTCTTGTGAACAAAAGAGTGAAAAATAACACGAAACTTCCAGAACTACTGCAGAATCACTTGTTTCCACCCGTGGGAGCAACCCCAGGGAGGCCACGAGATCTGTGTTCAGTGTTCACCACCAGGAAGTGGCTCTGAGGAGTCGTTGAAAACCAGCTCCCGAGGACCGAGAGCCAGTTCTCATTACTAAAATCTCCAGCTTGTAAAGACAACGCACAGTGAACAGTGAACAACACTGCACAGTCCAGCCTCACCTCCTTCCTGCCCGGGCCATAGCCTCCCTGCTCCTAGGACTATGTCAGAATCACAGCAACAGAGAAAAACAGCCTGCACACACAATACACCCGCATCCATTTTTTAATGCATCTTTTACAATGAGAGGGTAAGATGTTATCATTTACAAAAACTTAGTAAGATATTTAAAATTCTATTAAAATGTGATTGATTTACTTTCTTTAAGAAGTAATCTGGTAGGATATCTAGATTATTTCTCCTAAAATTTATGTACAATTAGTGTTCAATTTTGAGAAGTACTTTGGATCTAAATAGAAACTCTTATATCAACTTGTTCTGTAACTCAGCAAATTAAAGTTTATAAAGAAACATCACATACTGTCTTTTGATTATGCTGTTCCTAACACATACAGTGAGCTTGAAAATTGCTGAATAACACAATGGCCTCTGGCGTTGTATGAGAATCCCAGTGGTGACCCTGCTGGCAGCAGAGGCCAGCGTCAGCCAGCCAGCTGCTAGACCTGTTCACCCGGGGCTGGAGATAACCGCCCACCTTGGGCCCTTCGCTGGGCAACCTGGCCCAGGACAGACACTTACTGTGACCTTCGCGCCAGTACCATCCCCATGGATGGTGAGGAAGGGGTTAGCAGTAGCCGTGTGCAGAGGGGGTGCAGGGGCTCCTGCAAGCAGGCTGTTGATGGGGAGCTGCGTGGGGCCCGGCAGCTGCAGCGGCTGCAGCTCAGGCGGGTGGTGCTGCTGGTGCATAAGCTGGAACAGGAAGGCCTGGTGCTGCTCCTACAGCGGAAACATGGGGAGAGGTCCTAGTCACCGTGCTCACCACCAGCAGTGCGCGCCCTTTCTCCCCACTGGGTACTTAAATGTAAGAAAACAAAACCTCACCGAGAAAAAACAGGCTGCACTAGACAACATCCATTACTATATAAACTACTAGCTAGGACCAGCCCGTTTTCAAAACAAGAGCAAATACAGGAGCTAAATTAGGTTGTCCATGAAGATCAAGACCTGCCATTCAAATAAGTTGAAGATCACTGCTGTCCCATTTAAAACAGATCCTGGGACCTGATCTTTCCACCCTTCAGTTCTGAAGTCACCTGGCAGAGCCATCACTGGCGCCCACAGAGGCGGTGCCTTCTCCACCGGGCTTTTCCTTGTGGCACTAGAGTTAGGGGCTGTTTGACCACTGAGCCCAGCCTTTTCTTAGTTTGAACCAGGCTCTCATTAAGTTAGCCAGGCTGTGCTTGAATTTGTGATCCTCTCGCCTCAGCCTCCCAAAGAAATGAAGTTAAGGCCTGCACCACCAGGTGGAGCCAGCATGGGTCACTCCTCACAGCAATACAGACAGCGTTCAGCGGATTTCCAGGTGCTCACTCTGCGCCAGGTGCTTTTTCTGGTGGTGGGGAACCATGGCGGGAAGCTACGGGGGTCCCTGGGCCACGGAAATGCTCGGACGTGATTGCAGAAGTGGGGAAAGAAACAGCAAGTCTGGTGGGGACAGCCTGCTGCTCCGAGTTTTAAACAGGTCAGGGGACACCCATGCAGGTACAGGACAACAGGGGCCAATCCTGAGCCGCAACCTGCAGAGGACAGCAGAGGGTTCTGGACAGGAACAACCTACTCTCAACTGGGACTTTCAGATGAATCCACACCTGTGTCAGAGACGTAACTGTAATAGGAAGGACAGCATCACTGTCAGCCAGGCAGGCCCAACTTGTCACTCTGAAAGCCCTATTGCCTAGAAAGCAACTGGAGCTAGGAGTACTGCAGCTTCCAGAGCCGTGGGCTACAGTGGGGTGTCAGCCTTAAGAGATGCGATCTAGGCGTGTCCACCCCACTCCAGGGCACTTCCCCAGGGTAGGTCAGAGAGAAGGGGGAGACCCAGGAAAGGAAGGGCCAGTGAGGCGGGATGAAAGCAAGACAAGGCCCAGTCGGGGATCTCAGGAGGTGGGGCTGGGATGGAATATCACCTTTGAAACAGAAAGCAGGGAGAGGAAAAAGGGATCAAGCAGTTCTCTAAGATGGAGATGTGTGTGTGACTCCTACCACCCAAACGTGGGCTGACAAGAGGGAAACTAGCATTTAAATCCCTTCGTCTTCACATCTATGGAATAAAACATGGGACATCCCGTGTCCTTGTCCTAGAAATGCCAAGTCTACTCTGCTGTTATTACTCTGGCACAAACCCTCGTAAGAAAAGCCCAAGTTTAGTTCTCCACGTTAAGACAAAGGCAGGGATAGAAAACACAGTCCCACCTTAGCAGAAGGGTAAGATCGTCCATGTCATCTACTAGGACAGTGAAAGTGAAAATGAGTCCAAGTCAATGTAAGAATTTGCAATGTTTTTAATAAAGCAAAACATTGCGTATTGTTGAAGAATTATGGACCAGGCTACACTGAATGAGGTGTGCAAGACACTGGGGAAAGTCGCTGTGTGCAGTATGCCCCTCTCCCTCCCTGCCTATGCCAGAGGCTTTCTCCACTGCCTCTGCTCTGGTCTCCTCTCAGCTCTGCTAATTTGAACAGAGCCAGAAGCGCCACGGTTGAGGCCCAGCATCCATGTGGCCCTGGGTTCCATCCTCAGCACTCTAACAGCAGCGTTTCAAGTGGGGTGCAGCTGTGACCCCAGGACTATAGGCTGAAGAGATCTTATCTACCTGGCTGCAGAACAAGCCCCCGGGGAGGGGCCCAGCCCTCACAGCCCCGTCCAGAGCCCTGCCATGCTGTCTGCTCCTGCACAGCCCTTCTTTGTGCAGAACCACAGAACCCCTCATCAGCTCCTGCTGCAAAGGTGCAGGAGCGATGTCTTTTCGCATAGCAGTGTCTGAACTTGCAGTAAAATGTCTTGAGTCACCCAGACTCCACCTTCACTTCCTCTACAGGAAAACTCCAAGTAGCCAGCTCCCAGCTGTTCCTCACGGGCTGAAGTGGCCACCGGCCCAGTGCCTTCCCCAGACCCCTTCCCTCAGCCCTAAGCCTGCCCTGGAAGCCTGGGCTGCCACTTTCCCAGCTGTGCTAACACAGCCCTGGGAAACTGGGTCCCCATCACACAGCTGAGCGGCTCGGAAGCCACCCTGTGCTCGAGTGACCATGGGTGATAGCCTATGACCAAGAGGCGCTGTGTGTCGTACTTCAGGAATTGCACCCAGAAAGGGGCTGTACATGCCCAATACAGGCACGAGGCTCTTTCCAAACAATCTCAATATGCAGTTGATGAATTCAGAGCAGAAGAGCCCCTGGGTATGGAGGACACATTCCACCCCTACTGAAATCAATGCTTCCCCTCCAAAATGGTGTCCTGCGGGCCTGCCTGGTCAGCAGGCTGGTGGTCAGGAGCTGCTCTTCCTGCCCGGCCGACACACCTGTCTTGGGCTACATCCACTCTTCACATGGTGGTGGTGGCACCGGCCTGGGTGACCCTTTTGGTAGAGCCCCAACATACCTCGGGCTCCACTCAGCTGCTAAGTTAATCCTTTCCAACTGTGAATCATTACTGTGCCACTATTTGAAGCTCTCTAAATAATTCTTAAAATAATCCTGAGAAAGGAAACTGAAGATATAAAATGAGATTGACAAAACAGGGCAGTGATTAAGGCTGGGCAACAGGGGAAGGGGCACAGAGGGCTTCGGTCATTCTCCTCTGCTCAGGGGCACTTCACAGGTTCCACAGCAGGCTCGGTGTTTGGGAAGCTTCGGGCTTCCTCCAGGTGGACCTGCAGTCCCTTCCTGCTCAGCCAGCCTGGCCGCCCCTCCCTTACCTCGCGCTCTGTGGTCATCTGCCTTCCTTCTAGTCTTCCACAACACAACACATGCCCAGGTCTTTTACAACTGCTGCTGCCTCTACCTCGAGCGCGCCTTCTCTTCTCTCTCCCCTAAGTCAGAAAGGCACACTCCTTCAACGTCGGTTCCAGCCCAGCCCCATGGGGTGGGACAAGGCAGGGCAGGGGCAGAGCCTTCCCTCAGAGGGCTGTGCCAGCCTGGGGCCCCAGCCCCAGCACCACTACACCAAAAGGACAGTGAGGCCAGCGGGCCTGGCGCCAGTCACCTCATCCCTGCACCCGCTGCCCTGTTCTCGGCGGGAAGCGCCACCATGCAGTGCAGACTCACTGTCCATGAAGAGAGCACCATTTTTCTATCACCAGACCCTCTGCCAGTGCGTGTGATAGTGTGCTATGAATGTGCAAGTCAGGAAGGAACAGACTGCCACTACAGGGGTCCTGAACAGCAAGCCAGGCTTTCTGGGCGATGTATGCAATGGTGGTATTTTGCTAAGGGTACCCTAATCCCACAGTAGGGTTTATGCTAGTCTAGAACACTTGCTGCTCATAAAAATCAAATATTATCAAAAGGAAGAACTTACTGGTGTGAGCTGTTGAGAATTTAACAACTGCTGAAACTGTTGCTGATGAATAAGTATTTGTCTGTGCTGGTCAGAAAGTAATCCTAGTCCTGAGGCACTGAAAAATGATTAAAATTCTTACTTTCTACTTTATACTTATGTCTTTTTAAAAATGTAAATGAAAGACAACTTTTTGATTCAACATTTAATAAACTAAGAAGTCTTTAACCATAATACTTTACTTTTCCAGACAGGGTCTCACTATGTAGTTCAGGCTAGCCTTGAACTCACTATGTAGCCCAGGCCGGCTTTGAACTTTGCAGAAATCCTCCTGCCTCAGCCTCCCGAGTGCTGGGATTACAGGTGTGCGCCACCACACCCAGCCTAATAACCACAACACTTTTTAGAAACAATAGCTACAAATTATTTCTTCTTTCTCTTTCTATAATGCATGTATACAACTAAGTAAGAATTCACGTGGTCAAGAAGTGTTTTCTTTTTATTATAAACCAAACAGAAGAAAATTTTTTTTATGGAATAGAAATTTACATGTGTTTATTTTTGATTATTCAGGGATAATTTAACCCATGCTAAGATACACAAAGTTAAAAGAAAGAATCTAAACATACCACTGATTTGACTGATTTTTTTTAATGATCCCAATTATTTTTTTTTAATTAAGCATCAAGAAAAAGAAAGCTAGAAGAAATAGCTTACTAGTACCAAGTACAAATTGCTTAAAGTCATTCCTCCAAAGTATGCTTAATTAACAACATGGCTTTAGTCCCCTTATTTTGAACAAATAGTCATATGAAATTCTAGTACAATGAAACCAACCAAGTTTCACTTCCTGGAAATTCAAGATAAATATTTACCCTTCACCTTATATCAAAATTTCTGATTCAAAGTTAACAAAATTACACTATTAAATTTTAAGAAGCATCACCATGAATCACCTTTCTTCAGAATGTAGGATACATAAATAAAATATACAAAGGGGTAAGAAAAATTAACATTTACATCACAGATCAAGACTAATTTTCAACACAGTACATATTTTATACTTTGTTATTAAAGTTGACTTTAATTGTTTTAATAAGAATTACTTAAGTTTCAAAAATAAATATACTCTGGGTAGAATATGCCTAGTTCAAATTTGGGGTAGACTTTATTTTCTTAAGACGCATCTACAAGGAACAGTGAAAATCCCAAATTAAAGCAGACACTGCTAGTTCTATGTTGCACAAAAACCCATAATATAGCGACAGAAGCATCTCACCTGTTCGTCAGCGTGGCTGGCATTGGATGTGTTGCGTTAGGTGGTACAGTTGTGTGGGTGAGGGGGGCAGGGTTCTGGGACAGGGTGACAGGGGTCTGCATCACCCCGTTTAAAGCTCCTACAATGCCGTTAATTGCCAGCTGGTTACCTGGCAAAGCTCCAATTATGCCCCCCACCGCAGTGGCAGCAGGGATGGAGGCGGCCACGGGCTGCATGCCACCAGCCAGCGCCCCCACGGTCACGCCGTTGACCTGCTGGACCCCTGGGACTCCGGGGCCCTGCTGCGCCGGACTCTGGCCAGCAGGCGGTGGGGTGGAGAGGGCAGACGAGCTGCTGGTGCTCTGGCCACTGGAGGTTAAGTCCTGCTGGAAGAAGAGACACTGTTCCATGAGCCCGAAAGCACTGCATGTGCTAGACTATGATTCACAGCAGAGCACAAAAGAACACAGCCACACACAACTTACCTGGTTTAACACAGGAAGAGAACTGTCAGGTAAAAAGCTGTTTGCTATATGAGGGCTCTTACTGCTGTTCAAAGTATCAGTAGTTGGAGCTAGAATAACGAAAACAAAAATAAGTTTATTTACCCTGTTAAAAACACTGAAGTCTTAACATTCCTATGGCCAGTTTAAATAGAAAACAAAACCTGTATGGCTTTGCAATACCATAGCTTTATATCAATAATGAGATCATTACACGCTTAAATACATTTCACCACTAAACTTTAACTGAAGAAGGGAGAGCAAATTAAAGTCAATCACTTAACAAGATTCTCTATGCCCTTCAAAAACAACCCATCACCCCACCCTACATCTTCATGACGCTGCACACGCCAACTCCTCACGCCCACAGCACTGGGACGCTCTCTCCTGCGTTTCCAGCCACATGCAGACCCTTCTCACACTCACCAGTCTGTGCTGAAAATGGATGCAGCTGATGAGACGGACTGAGGGCCGTGGTTATGGCTGGGAAAGGCACTGAAAGCTGTGCATTCAGTAACTGAAGACGCTCCTTTTTGGCAGTCAAATTTTTAATTTGTTCCTCTAATCTTCGATTTTCTACTTGAAGTTGGTGTAATGACTTCAGCATTCCTAAAACTAGTGAACATTTGGATGATTTTTAATAAAGACAAGCCCATACTCAGGACTATTTTAAGGATTCAGGGCCAGTAATTTTGGAAAAAAAAGTTGAGAGGTGAAGAGTTTTGTAAATGTTTCTAAATAATTAGCGCTTACATATTTACGGCTGAACATAAGCACCAAGGAGGTTGCTCCCAGGCATAGCATCTGAAAACCTAATTGCACATACCAACAACACAATCATATGCAGGTGGCTTCTATTCTTGAAACAAAAATGGTAACAGTTTATTCTCCTCAAAACAGCCTCATTCACTACGAGTCCAAGCTGCGTAGTGAGACTCTGTACCAAATACATTAAAAAAAAAAAAAAAAAGAAAAAAAAAAAAAAGCCTTACTAAACATTGGAAGTTCTCAATGAAGCCGTATTTACCCTACAAAAGGAGCACACCGAAGTCCTCTGACAAGGGGAGAACACATTCTGTTTGAAATGTGCATGCCAGGGTCGGATCTAGCTCAGCAGCAGAGTGCTTTTTCTGCATGTGCCAGGCCCTGTATTCTACACCCAGCACCCCCAAGAAAAGAAAATAACAAAAACAAAAGCCAGCCCTTCAGCAAGGCACACAAAGTAGCTCAGCGTGCTGCGGCACAAGGTGCCCAGCAGGGAGCGCTGTGTGCCGCCACTCCACCTCTCCCAGCAAGGGGCCAGATGCGACTTATGCAGCCACCTCCACTGTGTGGCTCTTCCTGTCACCCAACACTGCTGCTAGGCTGCTGTGATGGGCAATTTAAAACTCTACATATTAAAAAGTTGTATTTGTTGAATGTGACCTCACAGCCTAGGGGAGGGAAAGGCAGGGGAAGGAAGGGGAAGTGAGAGGGAGGGGAGAGGAGGGGAGGGGTAGCCCCACTGGATACAGGTACATATGGCCATTTCCCAAGGACTTAACTTACATCCCTCCTCTTCAGCATCCCAAAAGAAACCCTTCCTGCTCCCAAATGAAATGCAACAAGGCTAATAAACTAGCCCTGTCCTCCAGCTATGTGTTTAAAGGATTATCCCAGCATGAATTTCCTGACAATTAGCATTTCTTGTTGGGAACCATTCATAAAAATACAGATTTGTGGCAAATGGCTCACTATACTAAAAACAGCTTTGCTTTAATAAAATAAAGCAGAAGTTCATATCCAGAAGTGATGGAAATCACCAATTTCCGCCCAAAAAATTCATGTTTGACAGCAAGTCATTCAGCTAGCTGCCACTTATTCTAACCGTTTTGCTGCCATTTTCACCATGGCCCTAACACTTAAAATGTAAGTAAGTTAAATACATGTACATGATCTATACCACACAGTATAACTTACTAAATGATAAATATAACATTAACTACATTTACGATATAATTTTTCTTTTCAGAATATTTTATATTCTCTCTAAATTATAAAACTTAAGAGAGATGATCATAACTGTCTATGAGCATTTTTTGAAAAAATTCTCCATAGGTAAGTTTTCTTTCAACAATTAAGTTTAAGAGAAGAAAGCAAAGAACAAATTACAGAACTATGAAGAAAAAGTACCAATGGTACAGCAGCTGAACTATAACCAACCAGTTACAGATGTGTGCCTCGCACATACGAGCCAGGTGCTTTCTGTGAGCCAGGCACACCATCTTGATGGTTTTCATCTCTTTTAATCCTTACAATAACCACAATGTAGATACAGTCTTATCCCCAATTCTACAAATGGCAGATTAAAGAACATAAGAGAGTTGCCCCAGTAAACACAGGGTTCAGGTCAAAGCAGTAACACTGTAGAATTGGTTCCATTAAACCTTTGTATTCTTTCTTACCACATTATACAAAATATAGATCATAATTTCATCAGTGTTGTGGATAAAAAGTGACACCTGTACCTATCCACCCACCCACCTTCATATGATGGCAAAAAAACGAACACTTACTGTCACTCGGTGTACCCTGTTCTAACAAAAACTGCTGTCCTTCACTCCACTGCCTCTCCAACAGCTGCTCTATGCTGGCCGCTACTGGAGGCAGATTGTCCAAACTGCTGCTGCCCGGCTGATCATAGCGAATCTGCAAGCTGCTTACAGGGGACCTGGGGAAAAGAGAGTCACTCAAGTTAGGGAGAAGGGATGTGCCTTTAGAGAGGGCACAGTAAGGTTTCTTACCTTATCCTGATTGCTGTTCCTGGACAAGCTTTCAAACACCAGGTGACCTATGCCAGAAGTTGAGTTCCTGGGTTTATAAAGCCATAATCAACTCTAAAATTGAGTTATTATCATTCTCCCTCCCTGCATTATAAAATCAAAGAAATGGCTGACACAATAATTAAAGCCCACTAGAAAACATAGGTATATCACCAATAATCTCTGAAACAGGCAATAAAATAAGTTGGTATGGCTTTATCAGACAAAAGACTAAAATTAGACTTTAAAAATAAAGTTTTCTGGGGCTGGTGAGATGGCTCAGGGTCTAAAGCACCTACTTAGAACAAGCTTAGCAAAGCACAGGGGCCGCAGTTCAATCCCCCAGCACCACATGCCAGCCAGCCCCGCCCCCTGGTGGGCTGAGCTGGCCACACACACACACACACACACACACACACACACACACAAATAAAATTTAAAAAAAACTGAGCTAAAGGGCAGGCCCCCTGTTTAAAAATAAAAATAAAAATAAAAATAAAAATAAAAAATAAAGTTTCCTCTCGACTTAACACCATCTTCTTAGAAACCTCTGCACAATGAGAGCCAAGTGGAAGAAGAAGTAAATGCGCAGACTGAAGTGTAAAATAAGAAAGATGAGAAAGAGGTCCAAGTACAATAGCTCGTACACCATGGAGGCCAAAGGAGCAGAAATAAAGAATGCTGGAGGCGGACAGCGCTGGTGCAAGTTTTGGACTGCGTGCTGTCTACAGTGTCTCAATGGATTAGAACTTCACTGCCATCTGATCGCCAGGACCACCTCAAAGAGAAATCCACCTGGTTCAAACTAAGCAGTCTCCTGTTTCTTTGCCCCTGACCTGTGGCATTCTGGACTACTTCTGTTCTTGCTTTTGGCTGAGTGTAAAGCGTGTACAATAAATCATCTCTTATGTGTTAGCTGAAGAATCAACAAAAACAAAAATAAAGTTTCACCTTTTTTTTTAATGTATCAGGTATTTAATTAGGTTCTTAGTAAGAAATTTAGAACACTAATTTATGAGGATAAATTCCATTTGTCAGAGCAAAAATGGATCGCAGGTAGCCCCGGAGCTGAGGTACACCTTTGATTTTTGCCAAAATCTGTGAGTCCACCGCTTTCTGATCCACCTTGCGCTGCTCTGAAATCTGGTTTCTCTCTTTCTCGGTGTCGAAGATCTCGCCCTCCTGGTGTCTGGGCTTCCGCAACTCCTTCTTCTTAAAGTAAGCATCAGTGAGGTGCTTGGGGATTTTCACTTTGCTGATGTCAATTTTTGTAGAGGTGGCAATGACAAATTTCTGGTGTGTTCTTCGTAGAGGAACATGATTAAGGCTCAGAGGCCCAGTCACAAGTAGCAAGCCACTCACCAACTGCTTCAGGAAGACCACTCTCTTGCCTCTGTGACGCCCGGTGAGGATGATCAAGATGGTGCCAGGAGTGATGCTAGCTCGAAGTTTCCGCACATGCTGACTGAAGGGTTTCTTGCCGTGGCTCAAGAGCTTTCGGGGGCACATCTTCAGTAGGGTAGTACCTAGGCATTTTTCGAAGATTAACCACCCGGCTACCTCCATTCTTGTCCCCACTGACCGGTTTTGTGATGGTAGCAAGAACTTTCTTCTTCTTTTTCTTCTCAACCTTTGATTTAGCAGCTGTGTACTTTTTCTTGTACAAAGCCTTTCTGGAATGCATAGCAGATCAGGAGTATCTACCAATTCCTCTAACCAGGACAGGATTTCGGCTGCAGTGGGGCTGCCCCTTCTTGGACTTTTTTGCCTTCTTCACCTTACCCTTTTTACCAGTGCCACTGGCAGAAGCCTTCTGGGCTTCAGGTTTCTTCTTTAGTGTCTGGCTTCTCAGTTTTTTCACCCACCATCTTGCAAGATGGGAAAGAGAACTAAGTTTCACCCTTCTTTCTTAATAGACATTGTATCAGAACAGATGACATAGAAGATACCATAGAAGACATCTGAATTTATGAACAATAAAATGTTAACCAAATATGAATAAAAATATTTTCACAATTCTCTTAACTTTTGTTTATTGAGACAGGGTCTTACTATGCAGTCCAGGCTGGCCTTTAAACTCATGGTGATGCTGCTGCTTCAGCTTCCCAAGTGCTGGGATTACAGATGTGTACCACCAATGCCTGGCCATCTTAATAACTCTGAAGCAGTTTTTTGTTACAAATTAAAAACTATTTTCAGGGCTGGGGAGACAGTTCAGCATTCTAAGTGCCCACCTGGAAAGCACAAGGACCTGGGTTCGATCCCCGGCACTGTATGCCCTGCCAGCTCTGCTGTGCTTGCTGGTCACCGAAACCAGGAATGGTGGCACACACCTATAATCCAGCGCTGGGGAGGCTGAGAAAGGAGGATCACTACAAGTCTAGGCTGTGTAGCAAGACCCTGTTCCAAATAAACACATCTTAAAAATAATTTTTCAGTACCAAGGAATATTCAAATCAAAGCAATGTATAAGGAACATGTTATGAAAATACTTCTAAAATGTCAAATCTGTACTTCAAATGATAACCATTCCACAACAAATTTTACTTCTGTTAAAATGAACATGTAGGTGTCTTCAATTAATAAATGGGGTCAGGGCCTGCCGGACAGCTCAGCAGATTAAAGTGTCTGCTTAGGTAGATGAAGGGACCAGGGTCTGATCCCCCACATGCCATGCTGGTCCCACCCATGGGGCGTACAGAGACAGAGCTGGAGACTGGGTGTGGTGGCCTGTAATCCCAGCGCTTGGGAGGCTGAAGGCAAGAGGATCACTACAAGTTCAATCTGTATAGTGTGATCCTGTAGACCCTATATTAAACACATAAAAAAAAAAGAAAATGGGATCATTTTGCTCTCTAACTTTCTTGTAAAGCATCAGGAAAGAACATTGTATGTCCAGGTTCTATTGTTCCCTCAGGATGACAGAAGCAGTGCCACTCCTGAGACAGAACCCTAAGCACAGACCCACCTTCAAGAAGGAACAAGCACTAGCTTCCCAGTTCCTCCAAAGTCACTGCTGGCACTGGGTGGCATTCTGTTCAGCACCTTAGCAGGCTTCTGTGCAAAATTCTTACAGAAGGGCCAGGGAGATGGCTTAGCAGAATAAGCGCTTCCGTGGCAAGCGCAAGGGTCTGAGTTCAATCCCAGGTTCCACCAAAAAAAAAAACCTCTTACAGAAGAGCTTCAGCAAAGACTTTTTACTGTCTCTGCAAGTACCACACCTGACAATGGCCGTGAGCTTCTCACACTGCATAAAGCCAGATAATTCATTATACTGCAGGGTGACTTCTAAACAATTTAATCATATTAAATAATTTAATCAATGAAAGCCAGTATTCTAATACCCACTAATAAAAACCTCCATTCACAGCCTAGTGTGATGGCATACCCTGTACTCTGTGAGGCTGAGGAAGGATGATCCAAATTCAAGCCAATTCTGGTGATTTAACAAGATCCTATCTCAAAAATAAAATTTTAAAGAGTTGGTGATATAGCTCGGTACAAAGGTCCAGTACTAGAAAAACAGACCCACCCACTAAGCAAAACAGCACTAAGGAATTTTAAATAATTTCTGGGTAATGGGCATGATATTGTAGAGTGGGAATAAAAAAGGCTCTCTCCACTAAACAAGAGACAAAACTCCACTAACTTTTCTTGGGGTTTGAGCCAAGTGGTGGTGGTGGTGGTGGTGGTGGTGATGGTGGTGGTGGTGGGGTTGTTAAAAGTATAGCTCAGCGCGAAGGCCCTGAGTTCAATCTTCAAACCAGTCAAAAAGAAAGGAAAAAGATACAGCAGTATAGAGGTACACAGAATCAGAAGCCACTTTAGATTCCCAGTTTCCAGAGGAGGGGCATTTAATCTCTGTAGAGGTCAATGAAAAACAAAACAAAGTGGAACGAAACAAAACACTACTTTTCATTCATCCAGGAATTACACAGAAAAAAGGCAGTACTAGTATCATCAGAAAATGTAGAAGCTGCTGAACCAATAATGGCTGTAACAGGGTAAAGATGTTCCTCAACAGACATTCCTCGACAACATGCACAACACATCAACACTAACACTCTCATGTGTCATCACATGGAAATCTGAATTTTTAAGAGAACAGTCTTCCACACATGAAGACCCTAGAATGAGTTTTTCCAACCTAGTCTCTGTCTCATTCAGTCCAGTGTTTGAACTACAATTTGTGACATTAGAGAAAACCATCTAGAAGGTACAAAGCTGGAAAGTATAATAAAATAAACCAAATTTCACACCACCACCTTCCCTGTCTGGAACAGAGGGAAGATACAGTCCTTGCTTGGTTTCCATATTTATCCACCAAGTAGGTACCTGAATGTTGCATATATGTACAGTGATTTCACAAAGCTTGCACAGCTGTGCAACTTGGCTTCAAACAATGAAGACTGAGAGAGATCTCAGAGACCTGCTGTCAAGAGTTGCACAACCAAAGTCAGAATTAGAGGCTGAGGAAAGAACACTGCCTACAACCCCACAGCCAAGCTAAATGGAGTTGCAACTTTAAGACATTTTAAAAATATTTTATGAGCAACAATAATCACTCAAGCTAATGAATTAATAGCAAAAGCAGCTAAATATGTATACAAATGATAAAAGGTTCAAACTGATTTGAAGCCAGAAAAAAATATATTCCTTCTAATCATGTTTAAATTAAAATGCAAGTTAATTACTCTCACTGCCTAAACATGGCCTCCTGCTATAGACCCATTTCAGAAGCTCACAGACATGCGCTCCACAGAGAGGACCGCACCGTTTCCAGATGCGCTGGGGTGAAGGGTACTCACCTTGGGGACAGGCTTCCACGGGGTGAGCTTCCTCTGCCGACCAGGCTGCGGCTGTTGTCCCCCAGGTCCTGATCTGCAGTGTAAATATTTCAAAGCTGATAAACTGACTCTCTCAGTGGATAAGAGGCTTTAAGCTCCAGCCCTCATTCCCCTCAACACACATTAAACCTCTCCCACTGTCTTTCCAGTCATGAGGAAAGCAGAAGACCTAGCATGTGGCTGAGAACTGCTGAACTGCGGCCTGTAAAGCGTTGTCCCTACATGTTTCTGTGAGTGTCAAAGGCGATGGATTGTGTTCGGTTCTTTCATTTCTTTCAATTTTACAGCACAGAAGCGTGGTTTGAATTTACAGTACCCTCCCCTCAGCCACTTTTAATTTCTATGGTTAAAGTAATGAATCACAGCTGTGGACAGCTAATCTGTATGCTTATCACAGCACATCCTTACACTTTGTATTTTTTAACACTTTGCATTCCAAGAAAGTCATAAAATATATTTACACACAGCTTCACATGAGACTAAAGTTACATAACACAAATCTACACACCAAACATAAATTTTTAAATTGATTTTAAAAAAAAAAGTAGAAATCTGAAGTTTAAAGGAAAAAAAAATGTAATCCTTCTAAACACTCCAAGAGTATCCCTGCTTGAAAAGTAACTTGCATTTCCCTGCAGCTAGCTCCTAATAAAACCTCCCTATCTCTCAGGCCTCTTTCAAGGTTGTGCTTCTCTTTTTCTGAGGCAGGTAACCTCTGACCCTGAAGGGCAAGGACAAGATTGATCCATTCTTGGTGAACTGCTAAACCCATGCCCTGCCCCCAACAGGCATGACTACTTGGACATGTCAACAAATTCTTAAGGGGGAATGAGACACAGCAAATCTGGGCTCATTAAAACAGTACAAGGCAAGTGCTACAAAATGTCAACTGGCCAAAATTCACAGATTACTAAACACTGTAAAAATTGTCTATCGGGATCTTTTTTAACCAAGTTTGTGTAATGCAGTTTCATGAATTATGCAAATAAAAGTCCAGGCTATTCAGAGAAAAGCCCCATGTTGCACTACTTTCATTGCACAGAAGTGAGGACCAAGCACATCAATCACGGGAGTCACCGGAGACGTTTGTGTTCCTGCCTACTGATGGCTGTGCTTAAACATTTACATTTCAGACAGCAAAAGGGGGGAACGCACATCACTGTTGTGCAGCACAACATACTACTTACTTACGAGTGGGATTCTTTTGGTTTTAAAAGGAGGCTGGAGACAGTGATCCCTCTATTAACCGTACCGCTACCTCTAAACCTTTTCAGTGAAAATGAACCAATGGAGAAAAATTGCACTGGAGACAGACATTTAGAGTTGAATTCTTGAAACCTTACCTGTTTGACTGCTTTCAGACTGAGCTATGAGAGCTGCCACTGCTGGATTTGGGTTTGATCTGCTGCCATACATATGAGACGGTGCCTGGCTAAGAGAACAGCCAGGCAGGGCATTTGCCTAAGCAAAAAGAAGTACAATGACAAATGAATTGTACCTGAAAATATCTTACTGTTTTTTCTCCTAATATACATACTAATTATTCCTTCTCGCCTCAGAATATATATTCTTGACTTTCTGAAAAATCAAATTTTATTTTTGCTAGCTTTACACAATTCCAATGTCGATTTTTATTTTTTTTTTTTTTTTTTTTTTTTTTTTATTTTTTATTTTTTTTTTTTTTTTGGTGGAACCAGGGATTGAACTCAGGCCCTTGTGCTTGCCAGCCAAGTGCTTATTCCCCGGCCCTGAATGTCAATTTTTTAAATCATTCCCTTTTTTTTTTTTTCTGGTATTTTTAGGGAAGGGTCTACAGGGTGCTCAGGGTCTCACTACTAGATCAGACTCATAGCAATCTGCCTGTTTACAGCCTCCCAAGAGCTGGGATTACAGGCACAAGCACCACCACACCAAGTCTCAGGGAGGCAGGACAGGCCCAGGGATCAATCCCTGACCCTCGCAGCAGTGCAGGCACTTTAATCTGCTGAGCTATTCGGCTGGCCCTCATTCTTTTGTTTACCATAGGATCTCACTACACAACTCAGACTCTGTAGTGATCCTCCTGTCTCAGCCTCCCCAGGCCTAGATTACAGGCATGCATCACCACACCCAATTTTGGTGGCTGGCACAGCATGCAGTACCAGGGATTGAATCTCAGGCAGCACTTAGACCACTGAGCTATCTCCCCAGCCCCAATATGTCATTTTTTAAAGTTACATAACTACTGCAAACTTTTAGAAGACTGGCAAATTCAAAGTATCTAGTCAAAACTAAAACCTGTAGTATAGTAACCATGCAGACATATGATTAAGCTTACTAAACCACTTATTAAAAAGAGCAGGTACACAACAGATATTTAACATATCCTTCAGTCCTTTACATCACAAGCTGGCTAAAGAGATTCAAAAACTCCAACCCTAAATTCTAGCATTTCAACTATGCAGAGCCATATTTTCACTGCTTATGTCTGTCATTAGTAAAACCTGCACACTGTTTTGTTACTTCCTATTTTGATAGACTTGGAAGGCTGCTGCTTTTTCTGTTTTGTTTTGTTTTTATTTTAAAAGAAAGCAAACAGGCATCACAAGTATGCTTTCTATACAATGCAGGGCTCAACGAATCAGAGCTTTGCCCTGACCCCATATACGGCACTGTCTTTCTGGCAGGCAGCCAGCTCTACTAACTGAAGAGCTCCTCCAAAGTGTGTAACTCATTCATGCTGCTAACCGCAATTCTGAAGGCCTCTACTGGGAGCTGTGCCAAACAAGTGAAAATGAACCCTTGAACAGATGAAGCTGAGGAGGCTGGCCAAAGTATTACACAACCTAGTGTAACAAAATGCCTCTTTGGTGTGTATACTCTCTACTCTTCAAGAATTATCATAACCTGCAAATGTGCCATTTTTGGAGCAAATCTTGTACACAAAACACTGCTACTCACAGGTTATCATTCCCTGAAAGGATTTTCAGCTCTAATAGAAACATAAATTTTAAACTAAACTTTTTTATTTTTATAGAAGTTTGAATGAAATCAAAATTAAGCTTTTATAAAGTAAAATCACTAAATGATCAGTTCAAAACAATCCTGACCATAACTTCAAAAAACTGAACCACTTCTAACACAAAGCTGAATAACAAGGGGCCAGGGAGATGGCTCAGTAGAATAAGTGCTTGCCTGGCAAGCACAAAGTCCTGAATTCAATCCCTGGTTCGGCAAAAAAAAAAAAAAAGCTGAAAGCTGAATAACAGCAGAACAAAAGATGTGAAATATTTAGATATGTACAACAATATATAAGATGATAGCAAGCAAAATATTACAGAAAATAAACTGTGTTTCTGAGTAGACTTACAACCTGTTTTCTCTTGGCCTTTGGCCAAATTATTAACTACAGAAAATGTGCCTTTACAATTCACAGAATCAGTCTTCATAATATAGGATCCTGTCCTTGCTTTCCATTGTTTCAAAGGGTATATTTAATATATTACACTTTAGTCTACAAATTAAACCTATTTATTTTGGGTTTTTTTTTCTTATTACTGATATGCACATAGAGTCAGTAAGTATGTACTATAAAATCCTGTTTTACAGTCAATCACAGACCTCAGTAAAAGGTAAGTTACAACTTAAATATCACTTACCATGAGTTAATAGTGTAGGACACATAAAATACACAATTCATAAACTAAATGCCATACGGTTATGTTATCTCTCCAAAAGTTAACTATCTGAGCATCTCAGCTACTCATAAAATAAATGAAAACAAGGAAAATACAACCAATCTAACAGAAAAACCAGATGTTACCACGTACTCTTAAAGCCTCAGACATCCAACCCTTACAAATGCCTTTCAGAGAACCAATTCTTTTTGTCTTTTTAAGATGGAGTCTCACTACACAGTTCAAGCTGGCCTTGAGCTCACTTTGTAGCCCAGGCTGGTCTTGAACTCATAACCTTCCTCCTGCCTCAGCCTCCCAAGTGCTGGGATTATAGGCATGCATCACCACACCAGGCCCCAATTACTCTTAGAATCAATTCCAAAAATATCAACTAAGCATATTATAGATTAGAAGTAGAAAATGAATTACAAGGAGAAAGCAGTAGTATCATGAGATACTTTTTTGGAAGTAAGAAGTAACAGCCAACAAGGACAGAGTGCCAACAAGATGACGAGCACCATCAAGCACACTGATGAGATGATCCTCAAAGAACAGAGACCCTCAGACACCTGAGCACCTGCAAAGCAAGGTGATACTCTGAGCCTCCAACTTTCAACTGCTATGCAGTCATCTATGTTATGCCCTGGCTAAATCACAACCACTAATTTATCAGCTGGAATTCTTTTTTAACTCCAATTATCAGACTCATGAATTGTCTAAGTTGCTTGACGCAAATAACAAAACCACAGCACCTTTTCTTAGGAAGGGTTCTTTCTGCCAAGGACTTCATATTTATCTTTAACAGATTCAAATTTCAAAATTGTAGCACTTTCTTGATCTGATCTCCAAAGTTTCTTACTTTTCCTACCACCTTTCAGGCCCATTATAGCAAAGATCAAAATAAAAACCAGTGCAGCATAACACCTATCTGCATAATGACTTGAGCAGAAGGAGAATAGTAAAGTCTATTTTCATAAAAGGTGGCTGGCAAAAGTTAGTAACAATAAATTAAAAGAATACTACCCAAAATGAACAACTTCTCAAACTATATGGATGATGAGGAAATAACCAAAAGTTGTTTTTCCTTTGAAAATAGAACAAAAATCAACATTACCTTTAAACTCTCAAGAGAGAAACAAGAACAAGTTATTTTAGACAGATTTTTTTTGATATAAAGAATTTTTTTTTTTTTTTTTTTTTTTTTTTGGCAGAACCAGGGATTGAACTCAGGCCCTTGTGCTTGCCAGGCAAGTGCTTATAAAGTCTGTAATTTGTTTCTTTTTTGATATATGAAAATGTTTAAGCCACATTGCATTGATTTCTTTTCTTTTTTCTTTCTTTTCTTTTTTTTTTTTTTTTGGGCAGAACTGGGGATTGAACTCAGGCCTTTGTACTTGCCAGAGAAGCGCTTATTCCACTGAGCCGTCTCCCCAGCCCCTGATTTCTATTTTTTAAAAACTCAAGTTGTGACATCATTTTAAAGTAGACAGCCTGACTTAAAGATTCTACAAATATCTGCCACAGCTAAGACAGTACACTAACAGTGGAATATGTGGCAATATGAGCCCATGAAAACCCCCTTTTTTGGTACTTCCAGGCAAAAAATTTAAGAGGAAAAAAAAAAACCCACAATTGAGAGGAAAGATTCACAGCTTAACAGCAGAGAAGATGAATAAAATGAAAGAGTTGGAAAGAAAAGACAATGACTGAAAAGAATACACACTGCAACTGGTATTGTGTACACTCAAAAAATCTTTGAGAAATACACCAAAAGCATATTACTGAAGTACTGTATGTCTGCTTCAGAAGACCAGATATGAAGACTAGAAATTCTTTTCTGGAAGAATACCTGTATCTTGACATTTCAGCTTTATCCTGCCCAGGAAAGGAGAATAGCTGCCATGGAGAAGTGTTCTCCTTGTATCTACTAGTATTACACACATGAGCCTGTAGGGTAGGAAACAGGGATATTCATAACACATAATGCGATAGCTGTATGGAGTGCAGGGATGGCAAACTTCTTAGAGCAAACTTGTTAAATACAACAGCCTGCTGTGGCACATGTGCCATAGGTTTGCCACCACTGCTCAGTGTTCTTACAACTTTCTAGAATTATTTCAAGTTAGTATTGCCATAATAAACTTCTGCTCTAACTTACAATATGAAAATCTTAAAGAAGCTTCTGTCTCAGTTACTTTTCTCTCTTTGTTGGGACAATATGCCCAATACCCCAAATTAAGGAAGGAAAGGTTTATTTAGCATTCAGTTTGTGGAGGTTTCAGTCTATAATCAGCTGGCTCCAAGGCACAGTGGCACGTGGCAGAGGGCAACAGGATCAAATAAGGGAGGAGAAGCAGCAGCAACAGGAGAGAGAGGCAAGCCTCTCTCCCTTCCTTATACTGTATTCATGCTATCCGCCCCAGGGAGGAAATAGCATTCACACTCATAATCCCAGCTCTGGATCACTCAATTAATCACAAGCTTTAAAACCCCCCTGCCCCAATGACTGCATGAGGCTTTGGAGGAGACAACTACACAGAAACCATAATAGCTTCCTTCTGTGTAATTATTTTTCAAGATGGTCTCCAAAGATCAACAGGTTAAAAATAGATTACTGAAATCCAAAACACTGTTAGACAAAATATGTCTCAGTTTGAGTTACAGAATACTGTTAGCAAACTTGAAATAACATCTAGGAAAAAAAAGAGTAAGTCTATCAAGGCAGCATTCAAACTTCAGTCAAACAGACTTTGTCTCCTAGAATGTTACCAAAAAATTAACAAAACTGAAATTATATTTCAGCTT